TTTGTTTACCATATATTTTAGAAATATAATTGTACTGTCAAAACTTTATATGGTTAAGTATTTAGTTTTTATTAATTTTCAAATATCAAGCAGCAAATTGTCATCTAAACTCTTATATATAGTCTGCTTATAACAATAAAACGATAATATAAATATGTAAAGTTTCTCAAATATGGTGAAGTTGTTCTAATAAAAGTTTATGATCTACAATATTGCTTGTGTGACCCTCTTGAGGGATAATGAACGACGCTTGGTCGTCTTTGACGAGTGGGTCCACAAGTGGGTACGTAGACCGGACCGTTGTTGAAACCCCATAACCCCATTCTTGTCCATATACGCACACGAATTTAAGTCCAATTAAACTTTGATCTTAAGCTCTTGAAGTGGCTATGTTTCTGCAGCTGGACTTAGATTGATTTCAATTATATTCCCCCTTGCATTTCACTTTTACCCTTACCCCAAACATCATCTATCCATAACCAAACCTATGTATTAGTCTTGTAATTCTTACATTTTATCTGCATTTCACATACTGGCGGGTTACAACAACAACATCTACAATATTAGGTGGTTAAGATTGAATTACATTCATAATCTCCAATTCTTGTAATGTCTACCGTTGTTTTAACCGGTACCAGAACAATAATTGGATATAAACCTCACAGTTGGTTTAAGTAACCCCAGAAACTGGACGATTAAATTAATTAAAAAGTTAGTGGAATACAATGAATTTTTTTCGTATCATATGGAGATGATCATCACCTAATGACAATTTGGAGAAAAAGCCAGAATAGAGTGATTATCAAATTTAAAACCGATTATACGAGTTTTTTCTTTCCATTGTAGCATTTAATTTGAAGATAAAGAAATCGAGTTCAATATATTGTTAATTTTTGCATCCTGAAGATACTGACAACGTGCTCGAAGTTTACAAAATTGATCATTTCATTAGCAATTACAATAACAAATGTATATTTAGCGGCAAAATGAGTGTTTCTATCTGAAATATGCACTCAACAGTCGATAGAATGCACTCGTCTATTCCATACTTTTTAATCAATATACAGCCACATTACCAACAAAAAGCAATGTGGATTCAGTAAAATTATTATTAATGCTGTGACGTTACGTTTTGACCTTGGAATAGTTTAGAGAAATTGTTGATATAAATTTTTTACAAATAATTTCAAATTTATTTGTATTATAATTTTGTTAAATAAATATATATATGTTTTAAAATAACACGATAACTTTTTTCTTTCCAGCGCTAAAACAACAACACATTATTTTTAGTATTTCTACACTCTCTAAGCTATTGATATTTAAAAGCACATTATTAAACAAATACATGCAATAATTTCGTTTTAAAACATATACAATAAAAACTTTATTATTTATTGCAACGTTTTTCATTTTTTTTTAGTTAATATATCTGTCACGAGCATGCAATTGTAGGCGTGTTAAGAATTTACCTTTTCATCCTCAGATAAAACCATTGTGTAATACTTGTAATATTCTCAATTCACAGAATAATTTTTTTTCTATTTATATAACTGCACTTATAAATTCTATTAATTTAAATTGTACAATTTATTATAAAAAACCAAGTTATTCACAACTGTTCTAGTAGTACAAACGCCACCGATGGAAAAAAACAGATTTGTCAAACGTGACCTGAAGTTAGTTGCATTTCGCAAATTAACATAAAACCAAAGAGGATTAAACTAAAACATTTTGAGATGCCACTTTGTTCGCTTAAAATTGTATTGACAAGTATGTGTTAAGTTTTTGTTTTGCAACTACATTAATTTTATTTTAATATTTATTGTTTACTATATCATATCTATCTATTTAAAAAAATATACATAAATTACAAAAAAAATATTTTATGATTTATTAATATTAGGAATTCTTCTTATGAAGACAAAAGCGAATTTGCTAATATACGTATAGAAATATATTAAAAATAATGTTTGAAATAAACGTTAATATTCTTAAAAAAAAAAACAAAAACCGACTTTAATATAATTTGAAAGTAACAACTTAAGAATTAAAAACAAAATTACAATTTAATATTTGTATTTGGATTTTTGTATTGATATATTCAAATTATTTTGACTGTTTTTTATTTTGTAGTTATGCCAGTTCATTAGGAAACGTGTAACTATAATTGATATAAAGCAAATCTTACCTTTTTTGTTTCAGATAAAACCATTATGTAAAATTGTAATTATTGGTATTAAAACTCAATATAAATATTTTTTCACGCTTCCGTAAACTTCAACTTTTTTAATTTTTATGTTTAATAGCACAATTCACATTCAATAACTAGTCAAAATACATTTGACATTAGTACACGAATATTATCGATAGAACTAAGAAACTGTCAAATATGAAGTTAGCTGCGATTTGTCTTTTAACATCAATTTGGAGTTGCCACTCTATGATAGTACATATAAAACATACCGTAAATGTATATATTAAAATTATTTGTTACATATTGTTACGTATTGACTTGCAAATTATTTGTTTATCTGTATATATTTGTAATGCTATATATATTGACCATCTTGTTTAAAACTTTCTATTTAGTTAATTTTGACAATAATAAGGAAAAGAAATAATATTAATATCATAATATATTATAATATTGATATCAGATTAGATTTGTTTTTACAACTTTTAAATAACTAAATAGAATAATATTGAATAATAGTTTTCTTATATTTCAGAAAGTATTTATTTTATTTATTTATAAATAATGATACTTGAGTTTATAAAACTAAAACTAACATGTATAGATATAGCTTTGGCTACTGAGGCCTTCAGCTATGTGTTATGACAAATTGATATTAAATGCTTATATATCTGTATAGGATGTCTACACAATATAATACTATAATACATATACTTATATTGTGTTGTATTAATAACATACGTATTTATTGCTTTAAAATTTCAGAAAGTAGTTCAATTAAACTAGTGGTGTGATGTTGTCTACCTGTTTGTTTTATGCAGTATACGATTATAAATTTAAAATATTATATCCAAAATTGTTTGAATGCCTTAAAATTGAACTAAAAACACTCTTAATACCGTTACCATTACTAATATCATCTCCGCTGTTACGAACTCCATTGACGTTTCCCATATTACATGTGTTATCTTCTTTTAGCATTTAGGATTTAGCAATGTTAAAAAGGTACATATAAGACATAAATGTTTTATACTAAATCTACACTATATAGATATATAATATTAACGTTTTAAGGTGGATACTACATATTAGACAATAAATGTAGACATTATGCAAAAACTATATACTAACTTGTACTAAAAAAAAGCCCAATGTTTTTCTTAACTCTTCTGCTGTATACCTATCAGCTAGTAGAATTGTATAGTGGTTTGGATACTGTTAATATTTTTCCTTTCTCTCAAGAAAGGAAGGAAATTGTATAAAACGCATTTAGTCTTTACAATAGAGTTCACTTGATGAATTTGATTTCAAAGTCGTTTCCAATGAAAGTTTAAGTAATGAGTAGAATATTCCTGTATGGATTTATTTTCAAATATTATATATGTATAGCAATGAATTTTTATTAAATAACTTATATAATAGAAAAACAAAACAGCTGATTACATTACAATATGTTTTGAATTCTTGAACATACACATGTCTATTCCTTTGTTCTTGATCAATCATACTTAGGGCAATATATTCATAAATTCATTTTTTTTTTTGAGTTTTATCCATTCAATATAGTATCATTCAATATGTTCCTTTCTCGCCATGTGTACGGCGATATATAGTACAGCTAATTAATGTAATTTATCAAATACTTTTTTATAAATTTCTATGTATGATTACTGGTAATGGTGCTTCTATTCTATTAACATTATTAAAGATCCTTCGCGTTTATTTTTTTTTTGCCGAGAGTGAAACATCTTTATGTCGAAAAGAAAATACTTAAAAGTTAGATGGATTCGAATAGCAAAGAAAACACAAAGACAAAAATTTTAGTTAATTTATTGAAATTTGACTGACCATACAACGCTGTTGCGAGTATTGCTAAGATCCTTCAATTTCCTATACTGTAATCCTTCTTCTTTTTTAGTATATTCTTCTTTTCCAGTATATTCTTTTTTGCCAGTAATTCCAGTATATTAATTACGCATAATAATAAAAAAAAACCATTTTATATTTTTTAGGAATTTATTACATAAAATTAGATTTTTTTACATGCTTTCCTAACGTGTAATTGATTTTTATCTATTTGAATTTTGACATAAATAAACACGTTAACAATAAACATCTTTGCATAAAATTGGGAATTTCATATTAAATTATTATTTTTGATATATATCGTTTTAAATTAAATTTAAAGTAGCAGTTAATAAGTTTTGACAAGTACATAAGCAATTGTGCTTCAATATTAAAAACAACAAAATTAAAAAAAATTACATACATATTTAATATAACAATTAAATTGTTTTTGTAGGTTATAAGTATATATAAATAAAAAATAAACTTTAAAAATTGTTAAAAAAAGACATATTAAAATAAAAATAAATATAAAATGAAAAATTTCAAACTTACAGAAATATAATTTAAATGATTATTTATTAATCAATATCAATACATAATTAAATTCATTTAAATTATTGGTTCGTTGTATTTAATAAATATGTTTTTAATAAATACATGTACATACATATATATGTAATCATGATAATTTTTTTTGAAAATGCATTAGCAAATGAAATTTAGATATTGAATTTTTACAAGTATTTTAAATAAATCTAATTTAATGATATTTAATATGCATTTAGTTTTTTTTTTTTCAATTTCATATTTTGTATGAAGACATATAAGCAAGATCATTTTAAAAACAAAACTTATGTATTGGCGTTATGATTAAAAAATTTCATCGACAAATTACTCAATAACAATTTATTATTAAAAATTTTAAAAATATTAATAAGTAATAAAATTTCTCGCTTTTTGTGCTATTTTTATATTTTTATTGTTTGTGTATGTTTTGATTTTAGTTCGAATTTATTTTCTGTTTGATAGGTTTTTACATCAATTTTTGTTTGGCGCATTCTGGGCAAATAATATCAGGTCCATCGGTGATAAAACCGCGTCCGACTAGACTTGTTTTGCAACTGGCACATACAAAGCAATCGTGATGCCAGTGACGATCCTCAAATGAAATGAAACGTGTGCCGCCAATGCCTAAAATGGATAAATTGTTAAAATTTGTGTTATAATAAAATCATTCACATAATGTATATTTTGTGATTGTTTATAAATAAAATGTTATACATAAAAAAATCATGAAAAAACTCGTAAAGAATAAGTCCTAATGAATGGTCAATATTTTTGGAACTTGTTGTGAGTTAAATAATTATTTTTCTATTTGATAGTTTTTAACTCTAATATGTTTCGATATTTCGTTATTCTAAAATATGTATATAAAAAGAAATAACTTTTATTTGTGTACGATTTTAGTTGATCGTACATTTTCCTAAAAAAGGCAGATATTTGCAGTTTGGTAAATTTTAGATCTGTTGCACGACAAGCTACTCGTATTAACTTTAAGTAACACTGTGTAACCCAAGTGCGTTCCACCAGCAACTTTTCGAGTAAATGAGAGCATTTGAGAGAGCGTAACATCCCTGTCGAAATGTCAAAATGCTACACAAACTTTACTCGTACATTTTATTTGAAGTAAAATTATGTTCAGCTGTTTTGGTGTGAATTTAAATTTTTGTATTGTTTATTTGCGCGGCATTGATGTTTTCACCAGACTTTACACAAGGCTGTTCCATAAAAATCTGTGTAAAGAGCTGTATTTGGCACTTTATTTACTTATGTTTTACTCGAGTTTTACTATGAGTAGCTCGTGGAGCAGGCCTAATAATTCGACTACACAGCACTTGCATAGTTGTATAACACTTCATATTATGGTAACTGATGTTTAATACAAAAACTTAATAAATAATATTTATTATAATATATATTTCAGCTTAAACGTATTTTAAGAGTTACAATATTAAATATTTTTATATTTTTTCATACTTAATCATACCTGTTATTGGCTTAACACATGCTGTACAACGTTTAGCGAAGAGCTCGCCGAAACACTCAGCACAGTAGGGTTTCTCATCGCGACTTGTGAATCGCTGCCCAGCTAAAGTAATATTGCAATGGGTGCAAGTGAAGCATTCACGATGCCATGGTTCATTTTTGTAAGTAACACCACCGGAAGTGATTACCTATTATGAAATGGAATTATTTAATAAATTTTATTTAATATAAATACGATATTAATTAAAAACAATTATAAAAAATATACAAGTTATTAATATATTTTTGCTCCTATACTTCTTTGTTTTTTTATTATATTACTTTGCTTATTTTTATATTACTTTATTTATTATTATTTTGAATGTTGTTGACGATGAGAGATTAAAGATTCAAGTTCTTTGCGGAATTTGCAAGTGTTTAATAATTTATTGATATTATCTTTTAAACAATTTCATATAATCTCAAATTTATAAATGATCTTTTTAATCATTTTAGACACAAAAAAATATGACGAAATGAAAAACTTAATCTGAAAAATACATCTGAATTTTCAGATGGGACTTTAAGGAATTTTCAGTACTTTAATTATATTCATTTGTGTAATGAATTGATTACTTGAGAGAATGTTAAATCTCGTCCAAATGGATATAAATTTTTTTTAAGACCCCGAATCACATAATATTTTAGTATGGTAATATTTATTTAACGATACAAGAAAATTTCGAAATAACATATGAAAAGATATTTAATAGCGATATTAATTTAATATCGAGCGATAAGAAATGAATTTAAGAATTTATAATTTGTCTTATGCTAGGTTCAGACAGCCAAATTTCCTTAATTTCTTAAAAATTAAATTAAGTCAATTTCGGCAGTATTCATACTGGACCAAATAAAAACAATTATATATTTTTTGTTTACAAATTGAATGTTAAAAATTACATGTTCGAAACACCATTTGTATCTGGAAAATTTAAAAAGTGGATTTCATGTACGTGGATTACTATTTTTCACTCTATTTTAAATTAATAACAGATACAGTTTTTTTTTTATATTCAAATTTAAAAATTTCCCGGTTTTATTAACGTCAACTAACGTTTATTAAAAAAAATGTCAACTTTATTTTTCGTTTAAAATTTATATTACGCATAGTTGCATTTGAAATATCCCTTAATTTTAGCCTTCGTTTTAATGAAATTAAGGCCATTTTTCTTAATTTCGTTCTAACCTACATAAAAACTGAATTTTGTATGGGAAAAACAACTTAATTTCGCTGAAAATTAAGACTTTTGCGAAATTAAGGTGTGTCTGAACATAGTATTATAATTTTTTAAGCAACATATTTCATTTCAATTAATCTATATGTTATTTGTGTTCTTTGCTAATTTTATTATTTTATTGCTTAAGATTTTATTTAAAATTGGTTTTCGGAACAGATATATATCAAATTATAAAATTCTTTACATCAGATCTGTGACTACAATTTATGAGCTTATAAATTCTTTTTTGTCATTTCATATATTTTGTATGAAAATTTATCTGATACTAGTTTTGGTTGTAATCTTTATTATTTATTATACTACTGACTTCGAAGGGTTTTGGGTGTTGGGGCTTCTATTGGTCTTCCTTTCAATTTCAATTATTTCATATAATCTGTATGAAAATTTATCTGATACTAGTTTTGGTCGTAAGTTTTATTATTCGTTGTACTACTGACATCGAAGTGTTCTTTTTTTCTTTTTTATGAAAAATAGTTTTTGAGGAGGTTTTGTGAACTCTATGAATATTATTTAGTTATTATTTTCTCAGTTAATAGAGAAAGTGAAATCCACCCCCTTCCATTTCATAAGACTTTTCCTTATTTTGATTTATCTAATATTACACCTTGCAGCACTAAAGATCAATCATAGTCGCAGTACTCCGTTCCGTTGGGAGCGAGTACCCCGTTTATTCCTAACATTACACCTTACTTTAGTATGAGATACCCTTATTTGCACATGAATTAACTAAAACTAGTTTTAATTTCTTTTTATATTACCTTGTTGCATTTAATGCAACGAGTGGCAAATTTCTCTTCATAACATCCAGCGCAATAGATCTCTTGTTCCCTTGGTATAAAGGATTTGGTACCGATTGCCATTTTGCAAACGCAGCAACAGAAGCAATTTTCATGCCATTGTCTGGTCTTGTATTCCATTTTCTTGGTACCTAAAACAAAAAATAAATTTTATTATAATTAGAAAAGTAATATATTTATCAATAAAAAGTGTTAAAATGAATAGTGCGTAAATAAGCAAAACAGAGCAAAATTTACGATGAGCTAATATATTAATAAATCATACTAAAATATTGGCATAAATCGAAAATATTGATACCTGCAAATATTCATCATTAAACGAAAAATTTACTTACACTGGGGTAATTTCGTACCACCCTAGAACTGAATTTGAAATCATATCAAAATCAATCATTGCATCGAACATGAACTTGTCTAGTCTATATCAAAATTTAGTTGCTTAAAATCAGAGAGATACAAAAATAAAAAAAACAATGTGAAGAGGTTACCGGAAAATTAGACAGAGACAAAGAAAGATAATAATATAAATAAAAGTTTTTGGTTGCAAGCTAATTTTGCGATTTGATCAAATTTAATATATTTTTGACATGCAAACACGCCTCAATCAAGAGTTTAATAGAAAATGGCTGTTTATTGCGATTTCGGTTGTTTTAAGTATGAACTAATCTATATATGCATGACATTGATCTACTGCCCCAAAATTTGTAAATTGCCTTTAAAGAGTCTCTGAAACTTTGTTAATCAATAATTTAATTTTGCTTAAAAACTTTAATTTACCAGTATATTTATGAAGATACTTTTTATTGAGGTACTGATATATATTCATAGTTCATTACTTTTAAAGTATTAAAGTACAATTTAAATTTAAATTACTTCATTAATTGTAAATATAAATTTAAAGTGTTACTTTTAATGACAATACATTAAATTTTATTTCGATGAAATAGTAAAAATAGTATTGAAGATAAAAATTGTAGGTTTAATACTTCATGATGATAACAGCATGAGAGCTCACACAACCATTTCTCATTCTTCTAGTTCTACAAAAATAACGGTGATATCTCAGTCATTATCCGCACCCCTTGGATAGATCTATAAAATTTGTAACAAATATCTGTACTAAAACAATTTGCTATATCACTACAACGTCCAGAAGTAGTGAAGTGAAGAAAAATGTGATAAAATATTCAACTCAGTAGTAATATTACTTCCTTTCATTTAATTATTATTAATCTTATAATTAAGATTAATTAATTATTATTAATATATATTATCGGACCTATTCTGTGCACTTGACACATTTGTCAAATTCTTTAATAAAATTTTTGATTTTTATAAAGCAGAAAGGTTTTTGGTATTCTGGACACATCTTGACAAATTTCAAAGCTCAACTACCTAATGCTTCTCACCACACTATGGTGTAAAGTGTTTTGTATAGGAAACTGTTCGTAATTGTTCGTAACTGTTTGTAAAAAATGCTTGTAAAGAGCACATATTTTAAGTTGCCAAAAGCATTTTTCATGCATTCAAATAACAATAAAAAATATGCTTGTAAAGAGCGTATATTATATATTTGTCATGCATGCAAAAAATAAAAAATGCTTAAAAAGAGCATATTTTTATAGTTGTCAACAGCATTTGAGGTATTGACAACTAACAAGGAAAAGAGCTTTTTATTTATGTCACAGAATACCAAAACCTTTACAGCAGTCAATTTAGACAAATGGCAATGTTTGACAAGTTTATAAAGTGCACAGAATAGGTTCGTATATCTACATAATTATATCTGATTCAGTACTAATTTGCGTCCTTCATCTATTAATTTTTAGCTCTATTATTAAGACTATTACATCTATATAATTATGTCTAACTCAGTAGTAATATGCGGCCTTGTTTTTATTAATCTTCATACGTATATTTTCTCTTTTTACGAATATATCATCTCATATCATATATATCATAATATATATGATGAATGACGTGAAAGCTGCAATTTATGATTTCTTCAATCAAAAGACAAATTAAGGTTAGATTTAAACTCGTCAGTCTACAATTAGAATAGAGTATGTTTTTATTACACTCTCCAATAATCTAAATCTAATTGAGATATATTTGTTTGCATTGCTATGCTTTCCTTTTGTGTAAGGGTCTTCGAAACCTACTATCCGAATGGAAAAGTAAAGGTAATTCACTTTCTTACTACTTCAAACTAATGTCATTTGGAACTACTGGATTATATGCGCACTTTTACAGGATATTCGAATACATATTCCCTGTTTTGAAATAATTTCTTTTGGAGCGACGTTTGTTAAAAACTAAAAAAGTTTTATGTCTATATTTGAAGACTAGATGCACAATAGATCAAGCTCATTGTAGTGCTTTTTTTTTTATTTAAGCTTAAAATTACGAAGAATCTGGAGGTGTGTCGCTTATAGATCTCCTCTTTTCGCAATTGCTACTTCATTTCAGAACGTGAAATAAGAGTGTAACAAAGATAAATACAAGAACTATAACGAAGGTTCTTTTGTAACGAATTTTTTTTTGAAGACTTTAATTTTTTATATCTTGAACTTCTCTATAGTGAATATCTCTACGATAAATTTCTTTCTTTTACTAAGGTTTTTTAAACGCTTAAAAAGATTTTTCATATTGAATAAGTCGTAAAAAACATCTGAGTGTTAGGTAACCTGTAGTTAAGTAACACAGCTAGAAGGTAGAATATATATAAATATATGATAATATAGTGACATCTAATATTATTAAATTGTCGATTTTGTTTTTTTTTGCTTTTATTTCTTTTCAATTTTTTTTTTGTCAAAACAATAAATTCACAAAATTTCTTTAAGTTCTAAAATTTAATATTGGCAAATTTAATTCATAAAGCTCTAAATCAAATAAATAATAAAAATTATATCTTTATTTAACTGGTACTATTTATATAAGAAGTTTTTTATGTACGAGTATGCAAAAACATATTTCAGTTGACAATAAAAATATCGTCAACATTTTTATTTAACTTGAAAGATATTTATGTCTGCTAAGTAATTTATTCATTCAAGTAAAATAATAGACAAAAAGTAATTTTCTGCACGATAAATTCTATTGCAAATATTTTGGAATAATTTCGACGCTTAAGTTTTTTCTTATACACATATATATATTTTTTTTTATTAAAAATAATTACGAAAATTATATGACAATGCGTGTTTAACGAGAAAATACCGCCGGCAAAGGTGAATTGTTT